AAAAAAAAAAAAAAAAAAAAAAAAAAAAAAAAAAAAAAAAAAAAAAAATAAAAAAAAAAAAAAAAAAAAAAAAAAAAAAAAAAAAAAAAAAAAAAAAAAAAAAAAACAAAAAAAAAAAAAAACTTTACCAATCTAACTCGGGCTGCTGCCACTGCCGCAAGCAGCTCAAGTGTACCCACTGGCCGCTGCCCTTGCATTCGCAGGGAGAAACCAGGTCGCCCGACTCCACCAGACAATATCTACAGGCCTGCAGCTGGGACTTTGGGAAACCTACGATTATTACCGCTATTACTAGAAGTATTAAAACTACGATTATTACTATTCCTTCTGTTATTACGATGTTCTGTTATTACTGTGATTTCTGTTATTACAATTAATACTATCATTGCTATTCTTACGATTCGTACTAACTATTCTTGCTACGACAAATTTTGATTCCCATCAACTTCCCTAGAGCAACAGCTTCGCTATCATAAGAACCCCAAAGATAACCCTGAAGATCGCAGAACCATTTGGGCTCGCTTCAGGATGTACACACATGATTCCATCAACAGCTCACTCCAAAATTCCGTTCCGGGCTCCACTTCTTCTACTATGCTTGCTGTTGCCTACACCTCCAAGAAAATGGCCTGAATCCTGTGAACCGTCTTAGCCCTCAAAATCTCCAAAGCCCTCAGCCCCATAGCAGCTGGCCTTATCAGTCTCTGAAACGTCGCCCTCGGCAGCAACCCTGAGCAGCTTTCGGATGTTATCCTCCTGACAGATGCACATGGAACATCAAAAAGAAACAACAGAACACATGGTGATAGGAGCGTAGCAGGCAGGATGAGAGATGGTAAGTGTGATGCTAGCGGCTGGCACATCTATATAAATTCATGCAGAAATGTATAGTCCCCTCAAGTAGATTCAATATGGCTCTGGGCATATTATAATAAGATCCCCATATATCCTATATTCTATCTACTAAAGGGGGACTATATACCCCAAACCCTGAACCCTAAACCCTAAATAGTCGTTTCCATTCTCATTGCCACTATCCCAATATAACCCCCATATTCTATCTACTTAAGGGGGGCTATATCCCTACATAACTCTATATAACCCCAATATCCTATAGCAGTTTCTATGTTCTATACTTAAGGGGGACTATATAATCGCCGGCAAGGTCCGCCTCCTCTGCTTCATCAGGCGTCTGGAACAGCTGCACGTAAATCTCGTTCTGGGCCTGGTAAGAGCTGTCCGGCAAACTTCCGACAGGAAGTAGTAATAGTGATAACAGTAAGACTAGCATAACAGCAACAATAATGCAAGTAATAGTAGTAAGAATAGTAACAATGGTAACAGCATGTATAGCAATGGGTTGGTTCTCAGGCCCAAGCATTAAAATAAGCTGACGCAGCAGCATATCTCCGTCGATCCTCTTTGGGCTCCAATATAGAGCCAATGGAAACGGAGTTCTCCTGACAGTAGATTCCAAAAGCGGTACCCTCCAAACTCCACAGCAGCAGGATGGCTCCTCGTACATGAAGCTCATAAGGCCAATCAAAATTTTCTCCACCGTCCAGCTGGGATTCCAGGACCTTAGACTTACGCGTGGGTGGTAGTGAATGGGAGGAATGGATCCCAATAGTAGCCCCTACATAGTTTCGAAGAAAAATCTCTGTATTCCATTGTTCTTGAATCCCTAATAATCACCAGAATCAGACGACAGCTCCTGAGAACATCAGGGATGCAACAAAAGCTATGTGTGCACTCTATGGGTCTGCCTGAAAGACTTGACATGGGCAGCGGATCAGCTACAGTCTAAACTCAAAGTATCCCCCTCAATGAGCCCTATAATGCTCCTCTATAGAATTCCCTATATAACCCCCTTAAGGACTGTAGCTCATATTGTTTTCAAAGACTCCCTTACTCGAAGCACCTCTGACATGCATTCCTCGCAAAGGCCCCGGCTCTTTGTGGAAGTCACTCATGGACAGGCAGATACGCTTGTTAATCTCGAACCGACCGCTTGGGGTTAGCATCCTAGGCTGCAACGTGAAGGCTGAGACCTTCATCTTCTGGGGCTTACGGGTTATGAGGGTTGAAGATAGGGATAATGGAAAATAAAATGGAAACTACTATAGTATATTGGGGTTATATAGAGTTATATAGGGATATAATCCCCCTTAAGTAGATAGAATATGGGAGGTTATATACGGATAATGGAAAAGAAAATGGAGGCTACTCTTTAGGGTTTAGGGTTCAAGGTTTAGGTACGGGGGTCTGGTCAAATAGCCCTATTATCATCCCTACGCATCCTTATGCACACGCTTGCAAACTCTACCTGTATCTTCACTCCCCCACTCCTTCGCAACAGCTGGCCGAGCTAGCTCAAGAAAGCGGCACCGTATTTTCACTCAAGTATGACACTCCTTTTGAAAGGGCCCCCAATTACTTATCCCCTCAACCCTGAACCCTAAACCCTAAACCCCAATCCCGGAGTCAATATGGGCCCAGCAGATGTTCTTGCGTAGTAATGCCAGATGGCGTGCGAGGATCTCACTACCCGACCATTTAAGGTTTGTATGTTTTCCTCGGGGACTTACAGAGTGCGATAAAGCCTGGATCTTAATACTTTACACAAAAGACGACCTGCCCAACTGCGCATCATATATGAAACATCGAGACTCCCACTGTTGACAGTAGTTCCCTTGCTGCTTAGTACGTCTAGTACTGCTGCTGTTGATGGACGAAATCTTGCAGCACCTACGAGCCCTAAACTACTGTAATTCCTAGGACTTTGCGGATGGAAGGTGGTGCAAGATTTCTTCCAGCGGGCTCCAGAAAGAAGAGGCCCTTTCCGGACTTCCTTTGTATAAGGATTATCGTATGTTGGGGTCGATTTGGGGGCCCCCCATTTCTGGAAACCCCCCTTGTGGTATCTGTTGTTGTAGGCTTTCTCCGCCTGCTAGCTACGGGAGGGCATGCCACAACAGCAGAGCCAGCTTTTGTATGAAAAGGGTTGGCATCATTTTCGTCTACTACTACTGCTATGATCGCTGTTCTTACGGCTGCAATTTTTCATACTACTCTGACGGCTGTCATGGTTTCAGCACGTAGTATAACTGCGACTTTACCTGCATTTACACCTTTTGATTTTGACACTTCTGAATATGCATTCTTAGCTAGTACTACTGCCACGGCCATTATGTGTAGGAGCCCAGATTCCTGATCCTTGATTCAAGTTCGAGACCGGCTCTTGTTGAAAGGATCACATATTGGGATTATATTGGGGTTATATTAAGGTTATATTGGGATTATATTGGGGTTATATTAAGGTTATATTGGGATTATATTGGGGTTATATTAAGGTTATATTGGGATTATATGGGGTTATATTAAGGTTATATTGGGATTGTATTTCAGATCCTATGGAGGCGAAGGATTGAGGGTTTAGGTTTACAGAGGCGTGAAGACCCATGATTACAGAGGCAGCGGTTTGGAATCGTATATGCCATGCTGTCCCCTTTTAGGGGATTGGCAATGGTTCACAGGGCATGACGCGAAAACTTCAAGGTCAGGGAGTTTGATTGTTGGAGGCTCTCCAACCCTAAACCCTAAACCCCTAAACCCCCAAAGCAGTGAGGTTAGCTGTACAGCACCCAATCTATTCCGCACACCATACGCTCGAAGACTCCCAATAGGGGTACCTTTTCAGGGGATATGGGGGATTCTTGAGTTATATGAGGGTTATATTATTGGGTTTAGGGTTTAGGGTACGGGACCTTAAGACATAATTTAACACTAAGAGAAATACTCAAAGATCATCCCAGTCAGGCTGCTTGATCGAGGGAGGCTTCATGGGAAAATCGTCCGGAAACTCCAAAATACCTCAGATTAGGGATATTTGGGTTTTAGGAGTACCTTGCTTCATTTCAACCTCAGATTAGGGATACTTGGGTTTTAGGAGTACCTTGCTTCATTTCAGCTGCAGCATCCCAGTCTTGCACATATCGTTTCGCAAAGAGGCTCGAAAAGGGCCTGTCCCTGTAATGCCTGCTTCTGCCCTATATGAACTAGAGAGAGGAATGTGGGAGCAATATGGGGTTTCCCCGCTTTACCCCAAAATATAAGGTACCTTTTTGGGTCCCCACAATAAGTAGTAGATGAGGGTCTACATTAAATCCCCATTTTCGGGAAAAATAGAATAAAAGTTGGGTCCTTTTGGGGCATGTGGGCTGCAGTCCACTACAGCCATCTTCGACCCGACTAAACTCTGCATAATTGCGATGTGTTGGCTCCTGCCCCCACCTATTAACAGTCTATAATAAGGCTCATATTAAAGGCTATATCTAATTGTGAAATATATATATATACATATATATGTACATATGACAATATTCTCAGCGGTTAATGAATGGGGGCAGTCCCCAAACGATATACCCACACCCCGTTGGTGGTGACCATCTTCTGGCAGCATAACACCCAAGATATAGCCAGGTAGTAGCGCACAACTCTCTGATAATTTCTGATATAGAGGACACTATATGCCCTAAACCCTAAACCCGACATGTTCTGTCCCAACCTCCCCACGAAGCACCAAGAGGAGCTACTGCGAGCAAGGCACCATGGTATTTACCTTGGTCGTGCAAAGGACAGATTAGTGCACAGTTGTCTCACAAACAGGCTGCCCTCTCCATGTACCTACATCAAGCCACCCGAACAGAGGCCCAAGACTTCCGGAACTGACCTTATAGCTGCACGGAGATGGCTTCTGGGGCCGAAAATTGAGACCTTGTGCCCTAAATCTTGGGGCCCGTATATACACCTTCTTCTTGCCCTGGATGCAACCTTGAGGGCCGCCCCAATCATCCTCAAAACGGCTAAAGCCCCATATGAGCTATAGTCCAAACTCCTACATTAGCATCACCTATAGCCTATGGTAGTCCCTGTTTGATCCCCTATATAACCCCCTAGGAGTTTTCACTATAGCTTATATATAGCTTATGTAAAGGTCCATGCTCCCAACCTTTTTGGTTCTACGGCTTCGAGCCGTGCCACCGACTGGGTGGGCTTGGCCGCCCCCAAAAAAGGACTCAGGACTTCTTTAGAGTTAGGGTGAGAGTTTAGGAGGCTTGGGGCATCTTACCCTCGAGTTCTGCAAGGACTGTAAGGGAGTAATATTCGTGGCTACCCCCCACTGAAAAAACTGCAGAAGCCCAGCACAAACTTGAGTCTCTTCAGTCAGGGCGCCACCTGTGTACGGATCCTGGTTTCCAGTGATCACGAAGTGCCATTCCAAGACGTTTGTGTCCAGCGGGCGTGCTTCGATGTACTCAATGGGATTCTTCAGAATCCGTCGGTACCTTTAGCGACAAGTAGCCGCTAAGTAGCCGAGGAAAGGAAAAATTCAACTGCAAGGCCGACATGTACTCCCAAGCTCCGCAAGAACGTTCCAGCCCCTTCACCTACTACGAGTTTCAAACTGCAAGGCTTAGCAGCTTCAGTGTAGACTCCCGGGAAGTTACCAGTATGAGCGCCCTAAAATGCTTGTAGAACTGTAGCATAATGGAATTCACTTAGGAAGCCTATATACACCTAACACCTTTTACGCCGCTACATCATATCAAATTGTGGCCGGAGCTCAACTGCATAACCCTCAAGAGCCCTCAGTACTCCAAAAGAGCCAAAAGAGGCATTTATAGGAGCTATCGGGAAACGATTCATCGAAAGTCTACAATGTTGAAAGCATTCCTGGACGCAACACCCGAGTCCCGAAACCCTAAAAGCCGAAACTCCCAAGACCCACAGCCCTAGACCCCAATACCCCTGCCCTAAACTCCAACCCTGAACCCCAAAGCCCCAAACCCCCCCAAACCCTTAAACCCCTGAATCCACTATGGGATTCATCCTACACCCTAAACCCTAGGTAGCAGCCTCCATTATCTTTTCCCTTCCCTCTTTGTACCCCCATATGGGTAGTTGTCAAAATTATGGCCCCTTTTTGGATCCCTATTATGATACGGCCCCTAATATTTAAGGTACCCAAAAGGGGACCATAATTTTGACAACCACCCATATAACCCTAAACCCTAAACCCTAAATAGTGGTTTCCATTTTCTTTTCCATTATCCCCTTATATCCCCCATAGAATCCCTAAGTCCCAAAACAACTCAGCTCCCAACTCCATTACCAACCGCCGGTTGTGACGGCCGGAGCCGGATACTGCAGCATCCGCAGCGGGCTTGTCACCCTGGAGCCGGGGCTTTGGGTTTAGGGTTTAGGGTTTAGGGTTTAGGGTTCAGGGTTCAGGGTTTCGGGTTTCGGGTTCAGTTTTAGGGTTGGGGGGTCAAGGGATTCAGGGGTTTCAACACTGGCATGGAGCGGCGTGGAGCATTGCGAGTTTGGGTTTTGCGGGCCCCACTTAGGGCTCTCTCTCTCTGGCTCGTTGGCCGGGACAAGGCTTATGATTACATGGGACAACTCTGAATACGTTAGCGGCCAGGGTCAAACATGCGGCGACTTTACAGCGACTGCTAGGGATCCTCTGCAACTGGTTGTCAAAATTGTGGTCCCCTTCTGGGTACCTTAAATATTAGGGGCCGTATTATAATAGGGATCCAAAAAGGGACCATAATTTTGACGACCACCCATATAACCCCTATACAAGCCTATATAATATAGTAGTTTCCATTTTCTTTTCCATTATCCCAATATAACACCTAATTTTGTGGCAAAATCAAGAAGGGCTGCTCTCCCTTAACAGCACATCCCGAGACCCAATGCCTCGCTCAAAGCAGCCGAGACGGGCAGTGGCGCTGCCGCCGTCATGTCTATATCCAGGGCCCGAGTCTTGTCCACAAATACGGCCTTCCGCCGGGCAGAAAAAGCTTTGCAGAAATGCTGACCACTCAGTGTGGAGCTTCTGACTCGAGTGGACCCTCTGGTTGCTGCGAGCAGGAAACACTAGTCACAAAGAAGAAGCACGTTGCGAGTGAGCTTCGTTGCAGGAGTACCTACCCTGAAGCGCGAAGTACAACAATCATGTGCTGAGACGCGGCTTGCCCTCTCACTGCATTCGAAGCACCAGGTCATAGCATTTTGCAATAGCCATTTCGCCATAGTGGGACTCAATCTCTGTTTCTGGATGGTACCTGATGTGTACACTAGATTACCATGGCAAGACACATGCACAAAAAAACAAATAAGGGATATGGATGCTTGAGGTGCTGTACGCCGACCCACCGTTGGAGGATCGGAAAATTGGCGAGTGTCCTTGCCTTCTCCGGCGTAGAAAGCGGCCCGGAGAGGGCCTTGAATATTCTTACTGGAGTTACGAGAAAAATAAGGGTATACATCCCTACACAATCCGTATGAACTACATTCCCTAATTCCCTACGAAGCCCCTTGTAAGCAGTTCTGAGGCGCATTTTATGCAACTGTTCAACATGTTCGTAGTTGACCAGTAGTAAATGATTTAGATTCAAAACAACTAAACCTATATTGGCTTGTAACAACTGATCTGTGATGACTTGTGCTCACGCATCTCCATCGGGTTCAGGTGTACACACGGATGTAAAAGCAGTTCAACCATGTCCCAGGAGCATTTAAGTGACTGGAAGGCAAGCAGTGTATGGTTCTGGATCCATGCTTGGTGTACTCGGTCACCCACCAGCCGTCATACTGGCCCCGGTCGTAGCCACGAATTTGAAGGCGAACCACTTCGCCATTCTTCCCTAGTTGAGTTCGGCTCACCTGGGGCATTGCAACTGACCTGTAACCCCAAAAGAACCATGTGGGCGTTTGTCAAAATTATGGTCTCTTTTTGGATCCCTATTATAATACGCCACCTAATGTTAGGGTACCCAAACAGGGACCATAATTTTGACAACCACCCATGTAAATTCTAGGGTTTAAGGTTCAGGGCTTGCGGAGTGCTGTGCTTGGAAAAAGCTTACAGCAGGTTGCATGATTTACACTCCTGGAAACTAACATGGAAACCCAAAAGGGGCCCTATAAAGACTACAGTCCCTCTAAAATGGGGCTATATGGGTTTCCATGTTAGTTTAGGGGAGTGTAAGTCTTCCCGGACTAGAGGATTAGTCTTCCCAAAAAGCGCAGCTCTGGTTCAACAATGCTCCCAGTCGCAGCGGTGAAGGGCTTGGTTGGATCCAGTGTCCTTACGCATGCTTCAGGCAGGAACCATACGAGCCATAGTCTAAACTCCTAATAACTCCTTGCACCTTACAGTAGTCCTCTACATAATCCTTTATATAACCCCCTTTAAGGAATTTAGACTACAGCTCATGTGTCCCCCTTCTTCTAGTTCTTCTTCTCACGGCTCTACGCCCTCGGCAAGAGGGCGCTGCGGCAGTGCCGCAAGCCGGGCGCGGCCCGTCCGTGTCAAGTAGGGCAAGACTAAGCAGCGCATACCAAGGGCCTCTCTCTGTCTTCTTCTTCTGTAGGCTACACTCCCCTCAATGAGAAGAGTCAGGGCAAGCCCCGTAGCCCGCAAGAGTTCAGTCTGGGTCTCTCCCGTCTTCTTCTCAGGGCGCTAGGGCCCTGGAGGCTCAAGGCACCTTCTACACCAGGATCACAGAACCACACCCTTACCAGTCACCACCTTCCCAACGGTCTCTGTGTCCCTGTCTCTCTCTGTGTCTTTGTCCCTAACCACTAAGCATCAGGCAAGCATACTACAAAACACTATTGCAGTCTATACTCTAACTGCAATTACGAGGAAATAGTCACAAGATGTAAGCGGGTTGTAACTTGGATTTGCCCCTGCTAGGCAACCCCGGTCGCCACGGCATTTTCCTTTTGATTCTCCATCTTTGGCCTACGTAAACCCTGCATAAACCCGAAACTTTAAGGCGCTTAAATCATCAGTCTATGAACCTAAACCCTGTATGATTCTTGACATCCCTGCAACCCCCATGACAATCATAAACATGAATGAATCTGGGGTCGGCTGCTTGTGCCTCAGCGAGCCCTCCGCCCCATCCGCGCCAGCTTCTTCCGCTTCTGCGGCTTGGCTTTGGATCATGACCTGACTCATGGGGTTTAGGGGTTCGGGTGTAGGGGTTTGGGGTTTAGGGGTTTAGGGGTTTATGGTTTAATTAAGGTTTTAGGGTTTGGGGTTTTAGGGGTTTAGGGTTTAAGGGTTTAGGGTCAAAGGTTTGCCACACGGCTGGAACGCTTGGCTTTGAACCTGAGAAAAGTTGAGAATGGGTGTAGGGTTTGGGGCTTTGCGGGATTGGGGTTTGGGGTGTAGGGGGTAACTTTTAGGATTGAAGGCTTCTGGGGTGAAGGCTTCTGGGGTGAAGGGTGTAGAGGATTTTTTTGGAATTGAAGGTCTTGGGCTTTCGGTCGCCCTGAGCTGCGCTTTAAAGAACGCAGAAGGTATCTGAGGTCTCCTCCTGCTAGGGACGTGTAGCATAGCACAGGGGTCGTAAGGAAATTCGAGGGGGCCCCGTGTCGGAATAGGTTACCTTATACAACAATAATAAGGAAATCAAAGTTGTCCCAAACTTTGACCTAGAGACATCTTTGCTAACCCTCACCTGAGTTGTGGTTGCGACTGTGATCAAAAAACATACAAAATGACCACCCCCCGATACTGAATATTCCCAATGCATGCTCCCGACATACTACATGAGAGCATTTCATATTACGCAGCCATGGGGCTTGTAATGTTAGGGGGAGGGGATTCAAAGCATACTGAACAATGAAGCAGCGACCATGGGATGGAGAGCGCGGTATTCCACGTTCAAAGGAAACTTCTGAGGGACATACCTTAGGTCATTCCCCCTTACTGTGATGCCGGGAGTTACAACAGCCCCTTAATCAAGTTTCTTTAACCAAGTCTCTTTAGGAACAGTTTCTGTAAGTGGGAATGAACCAACAAATGCCTCAAGAGCTCTTAACCCTAAACCGTGCAGCAACCTAATCTCTGGTTAGCAGGGAACGTAGAAATGGAAAACCCATGAAGACTATCATGTTCTTGGTGATTGTGTGGGGGGGATTCCCAAAATTGGGGGGGTAACTTGTGTGGGGTTCCCTTTAATAAATGCGGATTATCACATTTTGGGAAAATACCATGTAAGGACTACAATGAGGATCCCTTACTTTCATTCCTTGCTAGGCAGAGGTAAGGAGAGTGCAGAAACAGGCCTGCCGCTGTCTCATGATTGAATCCCCAATACTAACCTGCCCTCCCCCAAAAGAAATAGTAAGGCAGTTAAGGGTTCAGGGTTTGGGCCCCACAAAGCCTCCCAATAGAGTACCATCGTATGCAAGGGTGAATATTCATTTTTTGGGGGGTGAAGGGATGTACTATAGGGGGATCTACAGCCGAACTGCTATAGGCTCAACTGCAGGCAAAGCCTGAATGAACGACCTAAGGGTTTAGGGTTTAGGGGTTAGGGTCTAGGGTTTGGGGTCTGGAGTTTAAGGAGTTTAGGATTTAGGGTTTTTGCGCTGCTATATCAAGTCCTGGCTTGAAGGCGTACACTCACTCACAACAGTAGATGGTACATTGTGACTTTGAGTAGTCAATAAAACTCATCATCAACAACGAGAATGACCGTAAACAGCCAGTTATAGCAGGAAATAATGGTAGTTAGTAATTACAACTGCAGCGAAGAAACTCGAACCTCTTTGAAACCTCACGAAACTTGTGCAGAGGAAACTGGGCGCGTGTGTCTGGGAACCATTCATGAAGCCGATGTTCGAAGGAATAGGGTACCTTTGGCTTCAAGCTTCACCAGCGGGTTTAGGGTTTGGGGTCAACCCTTTTTTGCACCGAGGCCCGGAAGCATAAGCGCTCACAGGCTTAACGTTTAAACTTCTTGAAAACAGGAAGTGGAAACTACTGTGCACAGGACAACTGTTGTGCCTTACTTAGGGTTTAGGGGGATTGAGGTGATGGGGGGTTTAGAGTTCAGGGGAAGTTCATGGCCGTCCCTGTCAATGATAAGGTTTTAGGGTTTAGGGGCATCTTGGGAAACATCCCAAGTATCTCCACAGTTGATCGCATGATTTTGAGAACCCCGGTTTCAAACTGGGACTAGGTGTGGAAAGCACGCTGGCCAGGCCCAGTTGAGAATCCGTCTCTTCCCCTGGCCAACCGCAGACGCCAGCTTCCATTGGATAAGGGACTTACATTAAGCTGCCTGAGGGCTTAGGAGCTTAGGGAATAATATAAGCTTCCTTTGAAGAAGTTATGGGGATAATAGAGGGGTGATACAGGGGTTGGTTATTAAAAGGGTGTGTAAAAAAGGAATGGCTCGCCCATAATGGTAATTTAATTTCAGGTGAACAGCAACCAGGACACTCAAGGTCATTGCAAACACTTGTACGACGTTCGGAGGGAAGTGAAAAAACTGCCAAAAATGTTCTTTTGAAACCTCTTGTGAAGCATGGCAATTGTTTACGCAGCCCAGGTGCGGCAGGCATGAGTGACATGACCTGTCCTTCGCCACCCCATTTCTTGGCTGCTCTGACCTCACCGCTGAAGGAGTAGAAGCCCACGATGAATACCGACTCAAGGGTGTTCCGGCACATCCTGTGGTTTAGAGTTTATGATTTAGGGTTTACCGTTTAGGGACCTTAGGTGCAGGGCTTCAGACGCTCTTGGGCGGGTTGGGGGCTTCAGCAATGCAAAGCCATTGTTTTGCTTTGCAACATTTCCCAAGGCCCCCCTCTGTTGCCTAGTATCCTGTTTTGGCCAGGTACTCGTTTTCATGTCCAGCTCGTCGCTCATGTGAGTTCAGGATCGGGGAATTTGGAGAGCTAAAGCGTGGAAACAACATCCTTGACTTTTGCCACGTGATGAGCGGGAGCAATCTCAGGCCATTCGACTCCTGTGCTATATAATCCCAGTTTCCGTGTCACAATCTCCACTTGGGGCTGATATCCCTAAACCCTGAAACCATAAATTCGAATAAGGCCCTTAATGCCTTAATTAACCTTACATCCTAGACTCCAAACCCCCAAACCCCCAAACCCCAAAACCCTACAACCCTACAACCCTAAATCCTCAACCCCAAACCCTAAACCCCAAACCCTGAATCCTAAATCCTAAACCCCCCGGGAATACGAGTGCAAGCATCCAGCCCTTATTTTGGGGAAGTTATGTCAGTCCTAGCCCCCCTGCGCCAGCATAGGGGCATACAGGAGTATAGAGTTGTAATGAGTTGTATGTGAGTATACAACAGTATAGAGATGCATACAGGGGTATGTAGGGTATGTAGGGTATGTAGGGGTAGGTAAGGGTAGGTAGGGGTATGTAGGGGTCAGACTATAGGGTATATAGGGGCATGGACAAGAAAATGGAAGCGCCAGGTTTGTTGAGGGAGGACAGCACACTACAGAGGGCCATAGGCAGTCTACAAGCCGCAAGATTGCCGAGATCTAGTCCTTGAAAGGGACTGCCACTGTAATCCCAATACCTAGGGGCCCTATTCCGAGTTGATATCCGGTCCCATCTTGAACCACCGCTCCGCAGGGCGTACTCCTCTTGTGCTGAGCATACTGTTGTCGCTAGATATGGTGAGGCCATCTATATCGCATAGCCCCAAGATACCTGATTAAATACTGGTACCCCCAGTAAGGTACCCCTAA